GTTCCGCTCTTATGGATTTCAGAGTGGACTCCGCCCAAAGTCCCAACGCCATGGCTTCCTGCATGAGGGACCAAGAGTGGGTCCCTCCCTGTTTGTTTATGTGAGCCTTGGCCGTAATGTTGTCCGTCAGGACCAGCACATGCTTCCCCGTCACGAGGGGTGAGAACTCCTGAAGGGCCAGGTGAATGGCCCTGAACTCTAGCCAATTGATGTTGTGGACCAGGTCTGACCTGGACCACCGACCCTGTGCCAAGTGATTGTGAAGATGTGCCCCCCAACCGAACAGACTGGCGTCTGTGGTCAGGGTGATCCTGTTCGGTTCCTTGAAAAGAGTACCTCTGGATAGGGCGGATGAAGTCCACCAAAGCAGTGAAACCCGTGTTAGGTGTGGAACCCTGACCTTCGTTTTGGATGCACTGATGTTGTGTCTCTGAAAGGGGAGGAGGAACCACTGGAGACTCCTGGAGTGAAGCCTGGCCCACGGAACGATGCCTAGGCAAGAGACCATCTTCCCCAGGAGTTGTGAAAGTCGCACCAGGGGCACCCATTTTTCCCTTCGGACTTGCCGGGCCAGCATCCGAATGCTGACCTGGCACTCTGAGGAGAGATAAACTTCGCAGAGATCTGAGTCTATCAGCGCTCCTAGATGGACAAGCTGTCTTGTGGGAGTCGTGTGACTCTTCTTGAAATTTACGGAAAAACTGTGATCCTGAAGAGTCCGGATTGTGATTTCCAGATCTGACTGGGCTGAGTGGAGGGATCTGGACTGCACGAGTATGTCGTCCAGGTAACACTGTACTCGCACTGGCCTCATCCTTAGATGAGCCGCCAGTACGGCCAAGATCTTTGTGAAGACCTGGGGGGCTGAGGAGAGACCGAAGGGGAGGGCCCGATACTGGTAATGTCGGTGTGCGTAGGCAAACCGCAGAAATCTGCGGTGTTCCTGTAGGATCGGAATGTGAAGGTAGGCCTCCGTCAGGTCGATGGAGGAGAGGAAGTCCCCTTTTCTGATGCTTGCCAGGATGGACTTTAGGGTCTGCATTTTGAACTTCCTGTAAATAAGGAAGCGATTTAGACCCTTCAGATCCAGTATCGCCCTCCATCCTCCTGAGGCCTTGGGGACCACGAACAGTATGGAATAAAATCCGGTTCCTATCTGGTCTGGAGGAACCCTTTCTATGGCCCTGATGTCTAATAAGTGGGCGATTGCTGTTGACACTAAAGAAGCCTTTGAAGAATTGTTTGAAACCGGGCACTGTATGAAACGATCTGGGGGTAAAGATTGAAACTCTAGTGAGAGACCGTGTCTTATGGTCTCCCTGACCCAGGCGTCCGTGGTAGTGCCCTCCCAGACGTCGTAAAACAGAGCCAGCCGACCCCCAATGGGGCAATCCCCCTTGGCGTCACTTGGACCGTCTGAATGGCCGGCCGCCTGAGCCCCTGAAGGGACGCTTGTTCTGGGACTGACCCCTGGCTCCACCACCCTGGCGGTCCTGTTGGCGATCCTGCCTAGGAAGATAGGACCATGAGCCTCTGGGCCAATCCCAGGACTGCCCGGCCCGAAAGTGCTGCCTCCACTCCCAAGAGTCGCCGGAGCGAAAGGATGACCTACGGTAACCGAGTTGGGGTCGCCTCTCCAACTTTTTGGATGGGTGAGCCAAAATTTTTCGCTTGTCCTTGCCCTCAATGACATGAGGGTCAAGCACAGCGCCGAATAAGTTCGTTCCACTGTACCTGGAAGTAGACAGGCGCCACTTTGCCTTTAGATCCGTGCGCCACTGTTTCAACCAGAGAAGTCTGCGTGACGCCACCGTGGCAGCAACTGAACGGGCCGAGCATCTGGCCGAATGCAGAGAAGCATCAGCAATGTATTCTGAAGCAGCTACAATCTTGCCTAGAGTTTGGTGAGCTCTGACCTGATCTGGTGGAATGAGGGCCTGGAGATCCTGTAGCCACATGATCGCAGCACGAGCGAAGGAGGATGAGGTGGCAGCCCTTATTGCCCAAGCCGAAGATTGGTGAGCCCTGCGGCACGAGAACTCAAACCTTTTATCCTCTGCCTTTAAGAACTCTGCCATGTCCCCTGGAACAGCAGTGTTGGAGAACAAAGAAGCCAACGGGGCATCCACAGTTGGGACTTCTAAAAGAGATGCAAAGGAAGAGGAAACATTATAGAGCTTTTTATCCAGACTACTTGGAGAAGGCGTGGAAGCTAGTGACGACCACTGCTTTTCCACCGTGGTCCTAAACACCGAAGGACATGGGATCTGAGGCTCCTCCTTGACCTTTTCTGCAAACAGAGGGTTGGTCTCTTGATTAGAGGAGGTAGAAGGTGTCTCCTCGTGAGCTGAGGTGAGTTTAACCGTGGCTATGGCCTTTAATAGGATGGACCGGAATATGGAAGGATCAAAAAGACCTGAGGATGTCACCTGCTCAGGAGCTGGTTCCTCATCCTCTGACAATATGTTGTCAGTTGCCTCTATGTCGAATGATCCCCCCTCCCCTACTTGCGATGAAGTCTCTGAAACATCAGAACGAGGCCCTATATACTGCCCCTCCTGGGGGGGTGGAGCGGGTGTAGTAGGGGAGGAGTGTGACTGTTCCTGGTCTCGGCCGGCAGATGCCATAAACTGCTTGAATGCATGATGCATAAAGGCCTGGAATTGACTCTGGGACCACATTTCCTCTTGATCCCTGGAGCTGGCCCCAACCCCAGTTGGGACATGTCTGCTCACTGGCGCTTGCTGGGACGGAGAAGAGGAGGAGGAATGATGAGGACCAACCTGCTCAGTTTCCCCCTGAGGAGACAGAGATAGTGGATCATCCTGTGATGATGCAAAATGAGGCTCTAGCGAAGGGGCGTCCAATGGGGCGGGGGAAACCAATTCAGCCCCAGTGGACCTCAGCCTCTGCGCCTTAGAGAATTCTCTTTCCAATGCTAGGTGCCTCCTTGAGGCCTCTCGCTCGGCTGTTTTAGACACTTCCTTTGAAATTAAATGTTTGGTTTTAGCTTTTTTCTTTTTTCCCTCCACTGCTACTTCCTCTGATCTGCGTTTTGTTTGCGCAGGGGGGACACTGGTCTGAATTGCCTGGGGCAAGGAACTGTCTGCCATTGTAGTCTGGGTACTCCTAGGCAGTCGTACCCAGAGGTGGGGAAAAATTAACACGCAGATCACGCAGCCAGAGATGGAAAACGATCCTCGCTCTGAACAGCTAACAATGGCAAGAGCAGCCAGACAGCGTTCTAATACTGCCTGTACAGGCCCTGTGACTAAAGGTCACTGACTAATAGGAACAGGTGGTCAAACAGGAAACTCTTCACTCCTCTGCCTTAGATATAAAATCAGAATGAATACCTTGAGCTGTACAATGCAGTCAAGTCCCAATCACGAAATTACACGTGAAGTTCACAGCACCTGCGGTGACTATGAGACAAGTACTTTCCCCCCTGAACAGGCCTGTTCACAGACCAAGGCACTCTGGCAATACACGGATACAGTAGAGAAAAAAATCAAGTAGGCCTTCAATGGCGTCTGCCACGTGGCCCTTGTATACAACCCTTTACTTGAACAAGTAGAATCTATTTGTTATTTTTTTTTATTTTTTTTTATTTTATTTTTTATTTTTTTTTATCACGAGGCCTGCAAAATGACTTCCGTCACGTGACCCAATATACTATCCCCGCAGAACAGGCAAAGGAGAATGAATAAGACTCGGCCTACAAAATGGCGTCAGCCACGTGGCCCGGTGAAAAGGCGCCCTCGCTAAGACCATGCGGTTCAAAATGGCGGCCGCAAGAAATTCAGCCTCGCCAAATCAGGAGCGAGGGAAACTTGAAGATCCTGGATAGTAGCTTAGGGGCAGGCAAGGATTCCTTCCTTACTTCCCCCCCCCCCCTGGTCCCAGGAACGTGCGTTTTTGAAGTGCAGCAGCTGCTGCGATCCGAAGTGAGGCTGGAAGCGAGGAACGATTCAAAGAACCCCCTGCGGTGAAGGCAGAGCCGCTTCAGCGATCCGAAGGCCGGGAGCTTTCACCCGCGACCTCCACACAAAGGAATGAGCTCCGAAGTCCCCTGCAGCTTGATCTCAGCTGCCTAGCTGAGCCTCGGAATCGCGGAGGCTTGCCGTTCGACTCGCCCTCGAACGGAGCCTGCAGCCTCCCGCTTTCAAGCCCCGAGGGGCAGCAGGGAAACAAAGACAGAGTCCCTGTCTCACAGAATAGGAAAATTCTTTTGTAGTAGCCAATTAGTTTATCAAATTCCTAGAATTTCAATTTTAAATAAAGCCAATTGAAGCAAAAAATAAATTTAATCTGGCCTAGCCAGGGAGCCTTGCAAAAAAAGGTCTGCTGAGCTCGAGACTAAGACAAAAAACTGGGGAGACACACCCAGAGAGAGGCGTGGCAAAGTTTTTTTGTCTTAGTCTGAGCAGGAAGACTGAATTTAACCCATTCTGTGGACTCTACACCATCCCTGCTGGAGAAATGTTAATTACTACTCTTTTTAGCATTGAAAATGTTTTATGCACACTTTCAGTAAACCCTACAACTTCACTGTAAAGGAATATTAATGCTATTACATCTCCTCCATATTTACAGATGGTGTGATAATGAGGTGAGATTTCAGATAGAGAGCTCATGACTTATGCTGCTGCCGATTCACAATCTATTGATGCTGGTTTTGAGATAAATGCTTCATTCAAGTAGGGTTTTTATTGATACGTGATAAAGTATCTCTAGTTGGTCAGGAGCTATAAGATAGTACTTTTGTTGATTTGTCATGATTCCGAGTTCTGAGATCCTTATAGTTGTGCTGAACTAAATCTTGTGACTTCTTCAAAACTCTTCTTAAACCCATATGTGAATTCCCTTTAAATTTGAGATCTGAGAAATTGTTGGATTTTGATTTCTAATTTTTAATTAGGTTGATGATAAGAGCTGATAAGTCCTTTACAGCCTTTTTCTATTTGCTGCTATTAGCTCCTTTCCCTGTCCTTTTGCAGAAAATCTGTGTTTGGAAGTGCCGAGAGGAAAACACCAGTGAAGAAGCTGGTAGCTGAATTCTCAAAAGTCAATTGTAAAATGCCAAAGGTGTCTGCATTAAAGGAGGAACCCAGTAGTTCTTTAACTGAGTCAATAAGCAGACGTGAACTGCGAAGTCAGGAGACTCCAGAGAAAACTCGATTATTGGTGGACACACAATTGAAGTCTCCAACTCCGTTGAAAGGACCTGTGTGCCATTCAAAGGACAAAGGCTCCTGCAGTGAAATAGAAGATTTGCCGTATCTTTCCACCACTGAAATGTACTTGTGTTGCTGGCACCAGCCACCCCCTTCACTGTTGCGAGAGCCTTCTCCCAAGAAGGAGGAGACTGTAGCAAGTAAGAGGCTTGCTTGTGCCTTTGTGGTGATTGGCCTGATGTTGGGTTGGAGGGGGCATGGAACTTATTAATTGGGGGTCTCCTTAAAGAGTCTTTTGAACACTTGAAGACAGCTAGAGAGCAACATTCCATTTCTGAGTGATGCTGATGCTGGGTCTGGATTATCGAAGGCTTTGAAACCCTCCCTGCTGTAGACTGCATGTGAGCAGAGTATGAAGATCAACCACCCTGTTTAGTTTAGTGACCTGTGGTGATATTTATGAATAACAGTGACATTTATGTCTCAATGTTCTCACAATATATGCAATAAACATCCCTTTCTGTCACCATAATGCTCCCTTTCATGATATTTCATGATGGGTGGAGGGGTTGGTTGTACACATTCAATCAGCAGCTATTCTACCTTTAAATGAAGAAAAAGGCGGAAAGTGGAGCAGAAGAAAAAGTAGAAATGAAGGACGAGGCAAAAAACCAAGTGTGATTAAAATGGGCTTCATGTTACAGATTGGGTATATGAGGGCAATTCAGAAATAAACTTCTGTTTGGTTATCAATGACACACTCGCAGATACAGAACTTTTATTATACACATTAGAAAACTACAACATTACATTACTTTTCGACATAATCGCCATTCAAATTGAGGCACTTGTCATAATGTCTTACAAGGTTTGAAATTCCTTAGTAGTAGTTGCTTGGTGCCAAATCTGGGCTATGGGGGGTGATCAAAAACATCCCAACGGAACTGCTTCAAAAGTTCTTGGGTGCATCTAGCATTATCGTGAACCAACACCACACCGGAAGTCAGCATGCCCCGACGCTTGTTATGGATGGCTTGTCTGAGTTTTCGGAATGTTTCACAGTAGACGTCTGAATTGATGGTCAAACCACGCTCTATGAACTTCACTAGCAGTACTCCTTTGGCATCTTCACATTTGGCAGGATTTTCTATGGCACCACTTCCAGTGTGGTGTTGGTTCACGATAATGCTCGCCTGCACGCCGCTAGACGCACCCAAGAACTTTTGAAGCAGTTCCGTTGGGATGTTTTTGATCACCCCCCCATAGCCCAGATTTGGGGCCGAGTGACTACTACTAAGGAATTTCAAACTTTGTAAGATGTTATGACAAGTGCCTCAATTTGAATGGCGATTATGTCAAAAAGTAATGTAATGTTGTAATTTTCTAATGTGTATAATAAAAGTTCTGTATCTGAGAGTGTCTGTCATTGATAACCAAACAGAGGTTTATTTCCGAATTGCCCTCGTAAAAGTTGGCCCTGCTGTGGATTAGAAGAGATGGATTAGCAAACAGAACCCTGATTAAGATCGTCTGATCAGACTATTTTAAAAAAGGATAAAGACAATTGCCAATGTTCCGATGTAACAAAATGCTAAGATATGGTGTAAAGTTTATTAAGTCAAAATGATACCTATAGTGTAGCATTGTGGCAAAGTTCCAGTTGTACCTTACATTGGAACATAGTATGAAAGGATTCACACATCACAATGAGCCAAGTATTCTAGAATTCTGAGCTAATGTGCTGCCACACACTATTCAATTGCTGCCAATTGACCCCTTCTATAAGTGGGAATGGATAAATGAAAGTCTTTAATCAGATTGTTCTTTAAACCATGATCCTTGTCTTGCCTCTTATAAGTCAATGGTCAGAAACATGAACAAAGCATGACTTCTAGTACTAGATTGATAAGAACACAAACTATAGATCCTAGGTATGGTGTCATCATAATTTAGCCATGGAAAGAGATTTGACAGCTTGTGTAGCTGTTCCTGGGAGCAGACTAAGCAGTGTTTGTGTGGTTATGCAGTGTTTGTGGTTATGTAAGCCAATATTTGCAGACATTCAGACCTACTGTGCTATGCAGACAAGATCAAATTCAATTATGTAAATTAATGTGTACATGTTCTTATTTTTAATTCTGATTGCATAGGTTAAAAATTGCTAAAATGTTCCATAAAACATGAAGGTACAGTATGTTTGTTTAGCTGTGTGTATAAATGGTGCTGGTAATAGAAGACAGACTGATAACCTTTGAATGATAGTATGTTTGTGTAAGTAATTAGACAATGAGAGACTATGAATAATGGATTTTGAGCTATCCAGAATTTATCTGCACTGTGGCCTAGACTCTTGTAGGAATCAGCATTTCTAGCTGCTAGTAATACTGTACTCTGTACTCTGCATTATTAAAAAGTTTTCATCTAGATAACATTCTAAATTTAATATTCCAAATTTCTTTTGTAAAATATATGATAAAAAGTAATATTTACATAATTTACTGAATTGAGCCTTGACTTTACATAGCAAGGAAAGCATTGTAGCTGACAAGATCATGAGCTGAAATTTTGGAAAGATGAAGAATAAAAAAAAAGTGTTCATTGATCTTGTAGATTCCAGTCTTCTCAAAATATTGAATCATTTGAAATCACTTCATTTTTTTTTATTGAACTACAGTTTTCAGGTTTTCTAAAGAGAAGCCATGATAGTTAAGTTGCTTTATCTTTATAGGCAATTAAAAGGATCTTCTAGCATAATGTCTGAGACTTTAAACCATTGCAAGCATACTTTCAGCAAACTTTTTTATACATGAGAACTAAATTTGGGACATGGAAAGAAGTACAGGTAGTCCTCAACTTATGACCACAATTGAACCCCAAATTTATGTTGCTAAGCAAGACACTTGTTAAGTGAGTTTTGCCCAGTGGAGGGATTCAGCCAGTTCACACCAGTTCGGCAGAACCGGTAGCTAATTTTTTGTTGCCCAGAATGGACTTCCGGAAGCGGCATCCACACAGAGAACCGGTTGTTCACATATTTGAATCCTACCACTGGTTTTGCCCCATTTTACGACCTTTCTTGCCACACTTGTTAAATGAATCAGTGCAGATAAGCTAGTAACACGGTTGTTAAGTGAATCTGGCTTCCCCATTGACTTGTCAGAAGGTCGCAAAAGGTGATCACATGACCCCAGGACACTGCAACCATCATAAATACATGCTAGTTGCCAAGTGTCTGAATTTTGATCTTATGACCACAGGGATGCTGCAACAATCCTGTGAAAAATGTTTGTAAGTCACTTCAGTGCTGTTGTAAGTTCAAATGGTCACTAAATGAACGGTTGTAAGTTGAGAACTAGCTGTATTTACAGATGAGCATCTTAATATACATGTCCTTATTTCAGAGGAGGGGCATTACGCAGTGTCAGTCAGATAAGAGGATAGCCACAAGTATCTAGGACTTTTTTTTGATGTCATCCCATATTTCACCTGTTTGAACCTGACAAAAAATGAGCTATTTTGCTATTCTTTTTACAGTGTCTTACAAAATGGCAAAAATATATATTTATTGGAGAAGCTGTGAAGTAATTTCCTTTTGAAGGTTGGGAAAGAGTTTTTTTTTCTCTCGCACCAGATTATGGACACCTTTTCCTCTTCTAAGTTAGCTTTTTCTTTTATTGTTTTTGCTAATGTAATAAGGCCTTGTGTCTTAATAATTGCCTTGCTATATTTGTTTAAAGGTTCATTAAGTCCAGCAGCTTATTTCCAACTGCAGCCAGTTTGTTACTTTAGGCAGTTCAGATGTCAGGAACAATGAAAATAGCTACCTGGTCATGTGCCTCAAATACTCTGAAAACTTTCATTTGTAATTCTCAAGGATAATAAGCATTCATGAATCCATTTCTCTTTTTTAAAAACACTGAGCCCAATGTCTCTTGCAGGATCCTGTGATGCTTAGCCAATTCTTCAGGTAAAGCTAGAGCTGATTTAAACTCAGAAGATTTGGTAATGATTTGCTATAAAGACCTAGTTTGTGAGGCCTCTGTGAATATTTTAGATAAATGATCACCTGATATAAACTATAGAGTGTTAATCTCTCTTCAAAACATTAGCTTGGCAACTTTCAAAAAATGTTCCAGGTAACTTTACAAGTGTGGTAGAAAATGCAGTGTTGTTTTAACAGCCAGCACATGATGGTAAAATAGGCAGTTGCTTTATGAAAAATAAGCAGCAATTTATAGTTTGAAAGAGACTCATTTTACAGGGCAAGCCACTAGAATATAAACTGAGAGCAAACCCCACTTCTTACTAGCACTGACAATGTTAACTGTTTTGGGTAATGAAACTGCAAGAAAACAACCAGGTTCAGAGAGCATCAAGGACCACTCTTTTCAACCCTGAGCTACAAATATTATCCTTTATTGAGACTGTCACTTTAGCTTGTAATTTTAGGACACTGATCAATTACATTGTGATATAGGTATGTGTAGGTAAATGGGCTTTTATGGATTTCATTTATAAAAGCTTGGCTAAAGTTAATTCTTAGATAATTTTAACTGGAATATCTACTTTAAACTATATAAGATATATGTAATAAACATTGGTTGTAGTAACACATAGTCATACAGTGGTTTGATTGTGTATTGGCTTATCTGGTTCCCAAAACACATTGTTATAAACCATGACTTATTTGCCACAATGACTAGATTATATAATTTGCTAAGTCAAAATCAGATGAACTATATTATTGCTTAGTATGATATAGGAACCCATCCTGTATTCTATAAGAGAATTTTAATTTTTATCAGATTGTACAATTTGATAAAAGGGAAGATCCTTGCAGCTCAGCTCTGGATTGTTGACTCTGGAAGATAGTAAATGGTTGTTTATATGGTGTTGTTAAATAATAAAAACCATCTATAAAATTATATAAAAGTGGTTTCTTAATACTGACTAATTATGATTCCATAGCACTCAGTTTGGATTGTAATATTTGAACATTGCTGAAATTAAAGCCTTGCTGAACTCCAAATCTGACTGAGAAACCAAAAGCAAACCCTGTCTTTGTCAAAGGATGTTTGAGAATAAAACCAGAAGGCATTATATAACCCACCTTGGGCATTTGTGTGGGTGTGGGGAAGTTTTACAAAGTAAGTTTGACAGCAAGTTAAACTCAAGCCTTCAGATGAAGAATACTGAAAAATTGTTCCCTAAAGAGGACATAATTTACTTATGCATGCAGAATGGTGAAAAGGAAAATAAAAGATAGGAAAGTGTAAAGTAATTAATACTAGTGAAATATCTAAGCTGAATTTAACTCAGAACATTTGGATGGGTACACTGTTAGCTTCCTTATTTAAATACTTTAAAATTAGTATCATAACACTGTTTTCCCCTTTCTAGTTCCATCATGGAGGGACCACACAGTAGAGCCCCTGAGAGATCTGAATTCATCTGAACTTTTAGAGGTATGTAAGCAAATCACTTTACAGCAAGAACTAAGCAACATGTACTAGGTATAATTGCTGATGTAGAATAGGTAGCCTAGGAAGCTGTTATGGAAGAAGAAATGTATAGTTTTCTATATTTGCCAGTGAGCAGTGAAAATTCATGAATAAAAAAATTAATTCATTGAGCCTCTGATAAATTCAGCTCACCTCTAAATAAGCTCCCAAATATACTTCTCCAAAAGTGCAGAAAATTCTGGATCCATATCCTCTAGTGACATACTGACATGTTCTCTGCAGTCCAAGGAATAGTTAAAAGGCAAAGTCTTGTACTCTACGTAATAAAACTGTTTACAATTTTAGCATGTTATGGTGGTTTTTTGAGTTTGCAAATTACATTTAGCCTTCAGTATAAAACAGGTAGTTTACTAATCTGAACAAAGTGGGGCTTCTTGTACTGACAGTTATTTTCATGAGAATGTTGAGCAGCCATTTTGTCTTGGCTCAGAATTTTCAAAGCTGACCATCAGCCTACTTGATTCCCAAGGGGGTTATTTCAGGAAAATTTCACAGGGTTTATTGTCATGCTATAGTGTTGGATGAGACAATTATTTTATTTTATTATTTTATTTTATTTTATTTATTATTTTTAATTGTCAAATAAAGAAAACTCTCCAGAGGAGTCTTGTAGGTGAAGAGCATTTTTGGCATCTAGTTTCCAGGGCCTTGGTTGCTAATGCTAATTGACAGTCTACATCAGACATGTCAAACACAAGGCCCGGGGGCCAGATGTGGCCCGCGAAGTGGTTTCATGTGGCCCGCCAAGTCATCCAGGAAACAGTGCGGGAATGGCCCCCGCTGCCTTGGCCAGGCCAGTTGGGAGCCAATGTACAATTTTGTGGTGGCCATCTATGCTGAAACACATTCAGTCTTAGCTCCACAAGACCGTCTGGAAACAGCGGGGAACCAGCCCCTGAAATGTTGGCCCCGCCCCCTGGGTGCATGCTGGGGAGGTGTCACCCTTTGTGAGGAATGAAGAAATGCACCATCGCCTGGAAGTGGCCAGCAAATGGCCCTCGCCTACTTCACATATCCAACTTGATGGGGAGGGGTTTCGGCAGGCAGCGGGGCGCTTTCCTCACAGCGCCAAGAGGCTGAGCCGGGTGGCACGAAACTGATGAGAAGTGCAATGCTGCCTAGCCCCCAGCCTGCCCAGTTTCAGCAGGCAAGGTGCAAAGCTGGCGAGCTTCGCACCTCCCAGCTCAAACTCTCAGCGCTGTGAGGAGAGCGTCCCGCTGCCTGCCGAAACCGGGCAGGCTGGGGGCTGGGCGGCATCACGCTTCTTTTTGGATTCGCGCCGTCTGGTTCAGCCTCTCGGCGCTGTGAGGAGAGCGCCCTGCTGCCTGCCGAGACCGGGCAGGCTGGGGGCTGGGCGTCGTCGCACTTCTTTTCAGATTTGTGCCGCCTGGCTCAGCCTGTCAGCACTGTGAGGAAGAGCGCCTTGCTGCCTGCTGAAACCGGGCAGGCTGGGGGCTGGGTGGCATTGCACAGGTAACGTTGACTCTCACACTGCTCATGGCATCCCCTCCCCCAGAGCCCACCAAGCCAGATATGTGAAGTAGGTGAGGGCCATGTGCTGGCCACTTCCAGGTGATGGTGCGTTTCTTCATTCCTCAGGAAGGGTGACACCTCCCCAGCTGCGTTTCTTGCCTGTTTTTCTCCCTCCTTCATCTCAAATATTTTCCCACCACTCTGTACTTAGGAAGGAAGAAAGGAAAGAAGGAAAGAAGGAGAGGGAGGGTCTGAGGGAAGTCCTGCCTTAGTCCTGCCCTGCTGCCCTTTCACCATCCCCTTGCCCCCTCCTCCTGGCCTATCCTGGGGGTCTCCCATCCTATTGCTAATGAAACTTTGGATACAAAGCCGGGTCTCCTCCCATGGAGATGGAATGGGCCTCCCTCTGACTTTGCCCTTGTACCCATCATGAGCAACCTGGGTAAGGAGAGGAAGCACAACAGCAGTAGCCTTGAGGAGGAGGTAAGTGCAGCTGGGCGCCCCCTTGGGGAAGTGGGGCTGGGTTTGGTGCCGCAGGTGCTTGAGGGCCAGGCTGGGCATTTGACCTCTGCTGCCCAGGGCTCCGGGCAGCCCGCACCACCATCCACCCCCCCCCGCATGGCCTGAGAGGAATGGTGAGGCTCCTCCAGTGGACCATGCCTTGGCACTTGCCCTGGTCCCACCCTCTTCTGCCAGAGACCCTCAGATCTGTCCCACTCCTGCCCAGGCCCCCACAGGCACCCTTGACGCGAATGATGTAGAGCTGGCCATACCCACCCAATAGGCCACACCCACTCCGTCCACGCCCACCCAGTAGCCTGCACCCACCCTGGCCACACCCACCCGGCCCCCCAAGGGCAACCGCAATGCTGTTGCGGCCCTCAATAAAATTGAGTTTGACACCCCTGGTCTACATTTTTTGTTTTATGACATTTTTATTACAATATTTAATCCTACTTGGGTTTTATTTGCAAAAAACCCCCAATATCTCAACCTTGCCTATTCTTGTGGGCAATTGAATGGTGATTCTGCAAGACACTTATTTTTATTGTGGTTTTTTATCCTATATCAGGCCCGACCATCCTTTTTTTAGCCAGTAACTGGAGGGGAAGGGAGGAGGGAGATTTGATTTCTGAGCCCTGAGTTGGTGTAAGTATTAGGGTCTTTGTGATCACCAAAGAAGTGAACATAGCTTTTGAAATGAATTTTTGAACTTACAAATGAAATTGATTGGTTATTTCTACTTAAGGCTTTTTCTGTTTATTTTCTTCTAAAAAGACTGTAGGCAAAAGATGGAAAACTGTCAAATTTGGGTGGAATGACTTTGAGGGATTCTATAACATTAAAGGTGGGGGCAGGATGTGGGCCTTTGTACCTTTTGTTGTCATAAGGACTGCCTACAATAATTTTCAAAACCAAAATGAATATACTACTAATACCGTCACAGCATTTCAAAGAGAAAAATTAAATACCAAAGAAGGACCAATTTCAAAATCCCTGTAGTAATATAAGCATTTCAATTTTGATAAAACTAATCCAATCCTGCCCCTCAACTAGTACTCTTTGGCAAGCAGTATCTGTGAGAATGTGTCTTTTATTCACACTTGAGGGATGTGCTATGAGGAGCTTAACCACTATCATTTAAATAAAATACTGTCAAATGAAAGATTGATTTGCAGAGTTATTCATGTATAACATCTATATTTGGAACTGCTTACAGTAATTAACTTATCCAGTTTCACCACAACTAACCTAACTTTTGCTTATCTTTCCTAACTGTTTTCCAACTTTGCTTCTAAACAAACATCTTTAGATGAGTCATATTTTTTGACAGTATTGTGTTTATAAACAGTGATGGGAAAAGTAATAACCAATAATATCTTAATAAATAGATTTTTTCCATTGGTGTTGCAAAGATATAAAGAACATATCAGGCCTCCCAAAAGCAAAGTTGGAGTCACTCCTGAACATCTTCAGTTCGCATTTCCTTTTACCCTAGGATAACGCATCATAAAATGAAGTTTAAATCCTCTTCTTATGAACACATGGCACATAGCATGGCAGACTTGAATGTTTTCCATCAGAAAATGGAAAGAGAGGAAACTCAGATACAGCACGTTACCTATATACAGTGCATTCAGAAAGTATTCAGACCCCCTTCACTTTTGTCAATTTTGTTATGCTGCAGCCTGATTCTACAGTTGTTGAAATTCATTTTTTTCCTCATTAATCTACAATCACTACCCCATAATGACAAAGTGAAAACAGAATTTTAGAAATGTCTGTAAATTTATTAAAAAGAAAAAAACTGAAATATCACATTGGCGTAAGTATTCAGACCCTTTGCAACAACACTTGAAATTTAGCTCTGGTGCCTCCCATTTCTCTTGATCGTTGCTGACATGTTTCTACACCTTGATTGGAGTCCACCTGTGGTAAATTAAATTGATTGGACATGATTTGGAAAGGCACACACCTCTATACAGAAGGCCTCATAGCTGACAATGCATACTGTAGCAAAGCAAAAGCCATGAGGTCAAAGGAACTGCCTGCAGAGCTCAGACAGGATTATTGCAAGGCACAGATCTGGGGAAGGCTACAATAAAATTTCTGCTGCACTGAAGGTTCCTAAGAGCACAGTGGCCTCCATAATTCTCATCCATAATTCTCAAATGGAAGAGGTTTGGCACAACCAGGACTCTTCCAATAGCTGGTCGCCCGGTCAAACTAAGCAATCAGGGGAGAAGGTCCTTTGTAAGAGAGGTGACCAAGAACCCGATGGTCACTCTGACTGAGCTCCAGAGATCCTGTGTGGAGATGGGACAGAGTTCCAGAAGGACAACCATCACTGCAGCCCTCCACCAATCTGGGCTTTATGGCAGAGTGGCTAGATGGAAGCCTCTCCTCAGTGCAAAACATAGAAAGCCCACTTGGAGTTTGCAAAAAAGCACCTGAAGGACACTCAGACTCTGAGGAAGAAGATTCTCTGGTCTGATGAAACCAAGATTGAACTGTTTGGCCTCAATTCTAAACATTACATCTGGAGGAAACCAGGCACCGCTCATCACCTGCCCAATATCATCCCAACAGTGAAGCATGGTGGCAGCATCATGCTGTGGGGGTGTTTTTCAGCAGTAGGGACTGGGAGACTGGTCAGGGTTGAGGGAAAGCTGAATGGAGCAAAGTACAGGAATATCCTCAATGAAAACCTGTTCCATAGCGCTCAGGACCTCAGACTGGGCCGAAGGTTCACTTTCCAACATGACAATGATCCTAAGCACACAGCCAAGACGACACAGGAGTGGCTTAGGGACAACTCTGTGAATGTCCTAGAGTGGCCCAGCCAGAGCCCTGACTTGAACCCTATTGAACATCTCTAGAGGGACCTGAAAATGGCTGCCCACCGATGGTCGCCATTCAACCTGACTGAGCTTGAGAGGATTTGCAAGGAAGAATGGCAGAAAATCCCC